CCGTTCGTCAATTTGTTGACATGGGATACGCCCGCCTGTGCATCCAACCGCATTTCGCGAGTAAAACGACGTCCTCGTGATTCAACTTGGTTATGGAGGCCACCACCCTCCGCTAGAAGCTGCGGACGAAACCAAGTAGAAACCAGGTCGCGGTGGGGTGAACATTGTTTATTAGTACACAGGGCGCCCGCAACACAAAACGCCAAAACGTCCAGCCCAATAATTTAGGCTACGCCGTCCCCAACACACCCCCGCACCCTACGAAACAACCGAATTTGTCGCAAACGGCCGAGATAAGAAAACAAGTAGAAGACCCAACATCACACGATCCTACCTTACCCAACAAGGTACACGCACACCTCGCCCCGCCACCGATTCCACTCACCGCCCCACCCAATNTACACGCACACATCGCCCCGCCACCGATTCCACTCACCGCCCCACCCAATTCAACATCAAAACCAACTTCAAGCAAACTCAAACCAACCGAACACCCACCACAGCACCCACCGCCTTGCCCAACCTAACCCACGGCTGGTATGAGACTCGACAAAGTTGAATGAGACACGTACTAGCCCCCGACGCACCAGGACCGCACCAACATGAGCACAGCACGGATACGCTTCCTCTCGCACACACAGATAGGAGAAGGACATGAGCGTGTGTGCACTACAGGCACGCCCGCACACCACACCAACAGAGTGCCAGCTTGTCGACCCTCATACGGCAATGATCACTTACGTGCAGGATACCTCCCTTCAAACCCCACACATGTGACAGTCCGTTACACAGCACGAGGCGCGACTCTCAAATACATGGTCATCACGGTCCCAGGTGGCGGCTCTCACTACTTCCTCCCGCTCAGAAGCGTTGACGGGCAGAGCAACGCGAATAGAAGCACTCGACTGAACCTCGAACGAACCGGTCGATCGAGACGCGTTGCGTCGTTGTAGGCCATGGGACACTCGACAGGTGTCTCCATGCTTTGCTTGACGGGCCGCCTGTGTTGCCGTGGGTGCCTTGTGCGTGCCCATCCCCGTCCGAATGTGGGCAAACCTGTGCTCGAGAATGTCCTGGACCAATTGGGAACAGCCAACACACGAGCCGTAGGTATCCGCGAGGTGGAGAGGATGCGTTCAACGGCAAGGACACGACAAACCGGCACCATCACGTCATGAGGTGGACTAGGGTCGGAACCTGGAGGGAAATACACACAAACACACCTTGACGTTTGTGTACGCAACGACCAACGGCTCAAAGTCCAATCCATTACAGGTACTGCCGGAGAGCACGGCCGCGGGGTGCTCGTCAACTCTAACCGCATGCCTGGCATGCTCTCAAACAAGGCCAACAAGAAATATATTTCACCTGACTGAACATGCGGGGGTACAGGAAGCGGCGGGGGACACCGCCCTCCTCTTCGACGAGATCGCGGTCGGCGAAAATGTACCGTGACATGGCCACGAAGCCAAGAATGCAAGAGCGCATATCCTTCCAGGACACGTCGGTGATGAAGTGAGGCGCCCACTTCCCCCCGAAGGTGTGCCGGAGGTTGCTCTGCCACGAGTCGAAGAACTGCAGGACTTCCAACAGCCTTGTCAGCGGAGGGCAATCGGCTCCGGTGATGTACCCTTCCTTCTTCCGCTGCGGGTGAGCTCGGTCCTGTTCGAGGACATTAAACACACCTGGCCATCGACAGGCACGAATTGTCAGATGAGGAACACCACGAACATGCAAGAGCCCATTGAATGGATGGTAAAGGGTACCACGTTTTAAAATGGAGCAAACACGCAGGCGCCGGCTGGCACGCTTTCGTCTTCACACAGGCAAAGAAATACGACAGACGGCAAGACCCTCACCCCCCCGCCCCTCGACAGAGTCACAGACACGCACCACACAAATAGGTACTACAACATCCTCCTGCCACGCACCATTCATGATGTCCAGGAAGTCGTTCATCACCTCGGCGACGTCGGCGTAGCACGCGAGTTCCCCGCTCGGAGGTTTGTCGAGGGCGAGAAGCTTCCCCTGGGCGCTGGCAATGACATGCATCGCGGTCTTCGACACGCACTGCGACGACACAGGAACGACAAAAGTAATTATTTTGCACAGAATAACATTGCGATCGATATTATTAGTATTGACTGTGCGCTCAACACGTTCAGTAGACGACCGGACTCGCCGGAAATGACAGCTATGCTTATTCTTAGAACAACGACGTCGCCTCCCACGCGGTTCTGCCGGCACCATCACGCAACGACTACGAAAGCGACACTCTCCACATACTCTCGGGCAAATATTGAACTACATGGTTCATGGTTTTCGCACCTTCGCCGAGAGCTTCACGCTCATGCAGGTGTGGCTGTCCCTGTCCAAGCAGGCAGCGTCCATCTTGAGGAAGCGGCGCAATGTCGCGGCACGCTCTGCAGCGGTACGATTGGCCCGGTGTCCCTCCTCCTCTCTCCACGCCTTCTCCAGGGTCTTCAGAGAAAAAGACGCCAACTCAGGTGCGTCCGTCAGAGGGTTCCACCACAGGTTTTGGAGATGTCGTTCTTTGCTGTCGAGGCCGCTGTACCAGAGGGCGTTGACGACCTTCTTGAGGAGATGCACAGGGTCGGACATGTTGAACACCGGCCCGTCATGGTGGGGATGCTTGAAGGCCACGGGGTAGTCCTTGTGACGCTGCTCGAACACGGAGTCGCTCTTCGCCCACTCCGAGAACGTCGTCGTGGCGAAGTGCTGCTGGAAGGATCGGCTGAGCACAGCAAAAAAGAAAAAAAGAAAAAGAAAAAAAAGATAAAAAAAAAAAAGAACCCTTCGTATCGTTCGAGGCGAGTGCTGAGTTAGGTATTTGGTATGGAACAAGGTTGGATACAGGAAACGTGTCGGCAGGCTGAGACTCAACTACGTCGTTTTTGACGAGCCTCCTCCCGTACCCCTTAAAAAAAAAAAGATGGAGGAAAACAAAAAACTCCTCCCGTACCCCTAAAAAAAAAAGAAGAGGAAAACAAAAAGATATTAGCTTTCCGGTGACTTACTGCTCGGCGGCACCATCGCAGACGGTGCCGATCACGTCGAACTTCTTGTCCTCGTGGGCCTCGTACAATTTGTTCGTGATCTCGTCGAGCATCCGCGAGATCTTGGGCCCGCTGAGGCCCCTCACCGCTTCCCGGTACACGCAGAACTTGTACTTGGGGTTCCCGATGCTAACCCAGAACACCTTCGATCACCGGGAGAAAAAAAAAGTCGACGGCCAACGACGCACAACGTCCGAAGACGCGCACCGACGCGGGGTAAGTACTGGAATAGAAGGGCTGAATCGGGTTACATCAGACACCACCAGACAATCATCCCGATCAAATTTTTGGCAACAATCCTGCATGCATCATGGGCGACGAGACAGCAGTCCCACTGTTAGTGTTCACCTCCAGGTACTGGGTCGCAACGAACGTCTCGAGCGTCTTTTCCAGGGTGATGTGTTCGTCAACCCCTTGCACGGCGTCCAGGGGGTGGCGGAAGAACGAATCGCGGTCGACCAGGCCTTCAATCCCCCCGCCGTTCGGACAGACCCTAAAGTCGTTCTGGTTGAGGTGCATCAAGTCCCAGACAAGGATCCCCAACAGATCGAACCTGCCAAACAATACCAATATGAAGGGTCCATGGGACAGACGTACACTAGTCCATACGGCCTCCACAACAAAGAGTAAAACCAAAACAGCTCAACGTATCTACTGGTAGAANGGTTGTCTTCGCACGCCATCTTGGCGAACGCCTGAGGAACAAAACATGGAAAATTGTGTTACAGAAACAGAAAGGAAGGTAATCGGCAGCAAGGGCAACACGGTGAAGTCAAATGTCTAACTACTCAACACATTGAAAGGACAACACGACGCAGTCACATGCCTAACTACTCAACAAGGTTGTCCATGGATTCGACCCTCACCACATCAACTACCGGCGCACTCATGGAATACGCCACTTGCCCGATACCGGTCAAGAACACAACCCGTAAATGTGATAAGGGTGGGACTCGCTAAACGAACATAATCCTGTTGTACCTCGATGAGGTGGTACTGTTCTCCCATTTTCGTAGAAGTTGAAGCCGCCACGATCTTCTGGACGTGCTTGATGTGCGGGAGGTGGAGAACGTCCCGGAGGACCTGGTACCCAGCCCCACCCATCTTCGCCAACGCGTAGCAGGCCCACCGAAGTACCTTCGCGTTGAAGCGCCACCCCTTCGCGGAGCCTCGGTGCTGGTTGTATCTCATCATCTCCTGCACGAAGTACGCGGGGGAAGATACGGAGGAGAAGGGGTGCGGGTGGCAGGAGCTCGTCAAGGCGAAGGGACCCTTACCACCATCGGACAGTGTTGTGCATCTTCGCAGCGACTTGATATCCCGACAGGACTCCCGCGGGTTGAGTTTTCATGGCGACTAATGCATGTGCGTCCAGGCTGTGAGGGAGAGGGATCAGGGCTGACAACCAAACAGCCCTGGCATTGTAAATTGATCGGACACGACAGTTCTAGCAGTTTCGAGCACCACGACGGAGAGAAAACTGTACGACCCAGAAGCTCAAACAAAATCGAGGCACGTACGCCCGCGTCGCCAAGGACTACAACCCACCTCGACCACCGCCCTTGCCAGGCTACCCTCGGGGAGTCTGGCGAACACATCCTTCACGTCAGGGTTTCCCGACAAGGTCTCGTGGAGCCTGCGCCCCTGCTCGTTGTCGGCAGCGATCACGACGTCGTCCTCGCGGCATCTCCTCAGCTGCACCTCCATGTGCCTAATGTGATCACGCAGAACTCGAGTGCCTTTGGACTGCGCGTCGAGCTTGGCGTCCTTCGCAAACACCAACAGCAAGATCGGGGATACGGGTAAAAAGTTAATGGGACCATCTCAAAAGTCAAAGCAACGACACACGCACACACACACGCGCGCGCGCTAGTGCACGCTTTGGAGAAGACGGTATTAAAGAGAGCAAGAGCGTAAAGTCTCACTGAATCATTCCGATCGACCGGCTCTCGCGCAACAAACCCCGACCCAAACGAGTGACCTTTTGCCGGGTACCGAGGTGCTTGTTGTTCGTGCGCTCGTGGAACGTTGGTGTGGCGACGGAGTTCATCCGCCGAGGAGATCCATCTGCGCAGGTCTCGGAAGGTATCCGTCACATCCATGTGGTGGAAGATGATGCTGCCTACATGCGCTGCACCAGCCGGCCCAGGCGCGCGCATGGAAACCTACCACGAAAATAAGGAGAATAGTGAACACATGCATGAAGAGGAGGGGCAGCTCAGGAGTCGAAAGCACACCTACCTCAACAGACAACAATGTTCGGGCATTTCAAACTCTAGCTTGTCATCCACGTACCAGGATGAACCGCTTGCGCTTGCAAGGCCTCGAGGGAGGGCAGGGACGACCAGGAGGAAAGGAATCTTGCGCATTGAGGGGGCGACGCACATACGGGAGGCCGAACAGAATGGAACCACCGGCGGAATTACATTCGCTACGCTCCGTCCGAAGGCGAACATAGCATCATTAATAGCCACGAACGCGCTCCAAAAAAAGGAAACTCACCGAGACAGGCGTTCCATCGATCATCGCCTTGAACCTCCACATGCCATCTGCGCCGAACTCTTCTGTCCAACCCGACGGTAAACTGAACTTCCACGGTGCGCAGTCGCGTTCCTGGGACAAGGATGACTTGCATAACTTCCACCTGAGACCCCTGCCTTCGCCAACCTTCTCCAGACCGTAGTATGCGGCGAGGTTCTCATCCTGGAGCGAGACCGCGCGTCGGCGGAGAACAACAGAGTGACCGTGTGAGACATGTCCATGCTCGAAGGTTCTCATCCTGAAGCGAGACCGCGTGTCGGCGGAGAACAACAGAGTCACGATGTAAGAAATGTTCACACTCGACAACAGCAACAACGATACACCAGGATGGACCGAGAATGTCTACGACACGTCGATGCTGCCCACAACTCACCTTGGCAATCGCAGTCAACACCTTCGAGGTTGACAACGGACTCCCGGTGAATTGGATGGGGGCATTTCGGATCTCTTGCCACCACCGGCCGACCAACGCGTGAAGCCGCTTCGTGTCGAAGACGTCCGAATCCGAACGCGATCGGTACTCCTGGAGGAACACGTACACGGGCAACTGATTCCCGTCGTCTCCAGCCCTTGCCTGTTTGTATCCGCGGGGGAGTTCGCCGACCTGGTTTGACAGAACGTCAGCGAGCCCGTGTATGAGTTCGACATACTTTATGGGCATGGCAGATGTGGCAATACTCTGGAGCGAAAAGGGCGGCTATCTGCACGGTGAAACGACTACAAATACTTTCGTTCTGTCGGTGGTGCTCCATCCGACACAAGACCGTCACAGAACAACGCAGAAGCAATGATGCGCACACCTTCGCCGTGTCCTTTGCCGTCTCGGGGAGGGGCTCCTGATCATCTGTGACACGGGCGTGACGTCGGGAAGTACGACGCTTCTGGTCGTCTTCTCGTGACTTCGTCACCGAGGCAGTCGGTGTCGTGGAGTGGCGCGTTCCCAGGACAGAGCGACCCGGCGGCGAAGAGGGATCCGCCGCCGGGTTGTCCATACCTGGAAGAGCGATGGGGAAGAGAGACAGCGCAATAAGTCCATACTCGCCAGTTAAAGGAGAGTCGTTCCAGGTCACCCTAGTAGAAACAATCAACGAACAACCAAGGATGCATAGCAAGTCTCTCAAAAATGGTGGAGCGAGATTGTCATGTACCAGGTACCCATGTTTCACGACCGGCCTTTGTGGTCGTCTACCATTCGTCGCTGTGACAAACAATACCAATATGAAGGGTCCATGGGACAGACGTACACTACTCCATACGGCCTCCACAACAAAGAGTAAAACCAAAACAGCTCAACGTATCTACTGGTAGAATACTTCGTTTTAACATAACCGTGTAGGTCGAAGCATATGGTATGTGTTTCCGCCGGGCTTGACCAAGTACCACAGCGCAAGGTTGAAGGTGTGTGTTCTCTACGCGCAGAATACGTACGTCCTTGCGGCTGAGAACAGCCAACTATCCTAGTCTCCTCTCTCTTTCATGTTGCCCCGCGACTTTCACTTGCTAGTGCGCGGGGGCGGGTGCTACGAAGTATTTCGAAGTATGGAGTAATTCTTGGGTGGGGGGGGGGGGGCGAATGGTTGAGCTATGCGTCGAGGTGCATCGAGGCGCGATCCGTATTCTCGACCTTGCCCTATCCCTAACCTTCTTCGCTGACACCACGCTCGCTTTCCTTTAAAAAGTTTTACAATTTCGTCATGGGATTCGAACTCATGACTTGGCTGCAAGAGGGTTTTGATTTCACCTCTAGACCCCGGCGAACACACCTCTCGGGCCGAAGAATTTCACGTGATACAAAAACAGCAGATCCTCTCGTTCAAACGTGATGGGTGGACTAAAAGCCTAAAGAAACTCAGGACCTGTCGGGGTGATTACTGATGGTACACGCTGTCCAATTCGACCAATACGCTCTCCTCTGTCGGCTAGTGGGCATAGTGCTGATTGCCACGTGACTCATGTAACTCACGATAAATCATCAGCATGATATCCTACAGCTGAGGAAAATGATGACGTGTCAGAGTTTCTGCCGGGGAGATTGAAATCTCCCGACAGACCTATCTTTGGTTTTGTGTCTTCCAAATGTTGGCCGGATGTAGCCCCGACACAGCCTAACCACGGGCGATGGTACCGCATTTCTTTACCCTGGTACATATCCAGGGGCTAGGCCGCAGACCGCACTGAATAAGCCGCATAGCCCCTACAGATATGGTGGGCGGAAGTGGAAAGGCGACCTTCGAAGGTTTAAAAACTCGGGCTGGTTCCCGGTGCGGTATAACGTACCGCTGGGGTCCTGTTGCTTCACGACCCTCTCATTCCGTCAGTACTCACTGTCCTGCCATCGAACAACTTCGGACATACTTCAAAAGTAAGTGGGCAAACTACCTATGGCAGATCGCGCTTACGAACTCGTGTGGTGCAACAATTGCAACGACCTAGGCCACGGGTGGTCGAGCGAAGTGTTTTAAATGCTCGACAGCAGGGCAGCACGCGCATTTCGGGGTATTCGGGTCGAGTGGATACAACAGGCCGCCATTCGCCAACCACAGCATCTTTTCCCAAACTGTAACTTCGTGCAGGCTACCACATGAACGTAGGACCACCCTGCATGGTACGCTGCGCACCGTACAATCACCAACCCAAGCTAGACGTCCTCCAGTGAGCCGAGGTCGGTCTACGGCCGCCCTGGGAACATCGAGTCTCGTCCTCTGCATCGTCGATATCTCGCGCGAACTCACCTTTCGAGATTCCACCTGCTAAGCACAGGAGGAAGATGAGCAACTTCATCAACTCCCCGCCTGTGCACCTGCCGCGGGTGCCCAGGTAGCCAGAGAGGGTGCCCTGTGTGAGGGGTACTCGCATGAGGGGGTGCGCGACTGGGTTTTGCACATACCACCGCAATGCCCCCATGAGCATGGTGAGCGGGGATGGCCATCCCCCCCCCTGAGTGCGCCTCCTATGGTAACATAAAGAGTCATATTCTTTGATGTGAAGTCAACAATCGTCACCGGTTTTGTAGAGAGACCCGTTAGAGATGGCGTGGCTAACCCGGGTGCATTGGTTTTGTGCCTGATCGTGGAAGACCCCTTCAGTGTGGAACGATTCTTGGCTAGTGTCGATATTTTTCACTGCAGTGCCTACACAGACGATCGGGAGAGATTCGGGTGATTGTCAATTGCTGCTATGATGGCTTTGGTTGGTTGTTCTTTTTCACTGTACGGCCGCAGACACATTCTGACAGCACTTCAGACAGCAGCTTTGTGCCCCGCCAGCTGCTTGTTCCATGCCTACCATGGTGTTTTTGTACAGACAGCACTTCAGACAGCATTGTGCTGTAGTCGGCAATCTTCCGTTTTGGTATAGAGTGGGACAGGGAGGGGGTGATGCTACTGTTGTAGAACGGTGGGACGGACGTGCAGTTCAGTTTTTGGGCACGCATACGGTGCTGCAGGGATTTTAAGGTGTACCTCTTCGGGCTCTTGCATACCTTTTTCTCGTTAGATGTGTGCGTGTTCTTTAGATCCTCAGATGGCTCTAGCACGTTCGTGACCACGGGCTGAGAGTCTTTGGCTAGATTTTGGCAATTGGCAACTGACATACGGTTTAATATGAAGACAACCAACCAACCGACCTAGTAGCCCTCACTGCTATGGCTATTTATTGCTATTTTTCGTTGCATCGATTAATTGTGGGGGGGGGGGGATGGAATGTGTCCATGATTTTAGAGGCACTACTGGCAGCAATTGATTTTGGTGTTCTGATGGGTTTGACACTGCTACAGCAGGGAGGGGCTGTTGGAGGCGCATTTGTTTTGCTTGAAGTATTTTACCGCGATTGATTCCAGAAACAAATATATCTACTCTGTCTGCCGAATGGCGATCACGGATGACCAAGGGTGAAGGGAATGCGGGAAAGTAGTCCCCTCTTCACCCTTATTAGAACGAACGAGTGCAGAGTAGTAGTAGTCGGATGCGTCGAAGAAACATTTCCTGAAAGACTAGAGTCCAAGATAATTTGCGCTGTGTGATACAGCAACACAATTAATTATTCATATACATTTCGACGGTGGGAGACGGCATAATAGACAAAGCGTGTCGACGAAGCCAACCGCGCGCGCATACGTCGAGCATTAACGACCAAAACAAGCATTGCCCGAGCACGAGGGACAGAAAAGCGTGCAGAAGTACGAGCACACGCGAGGAAAATGAGCATAACCAGCGTGCATAAGTCGCCTTTTGAGCTTACACACGTGCCGAAAAACGTGCATAAAAATGTCAAGAAATAAGCATAACAGGTCAGGGCCTACTGGAAAACGACTTGGAAAGTCGTTCGATGTGGTACACACCTGCAGGAGACATGAGATACCCCCCGTCCCCGCCATTCAACATTTTTCAAAACACCTACACTACACCCAAGTCCATGGTTGCTTTTCTTTGCAGTTCGTGTTGCCCCTGCCGAAACTTGACTTCGTCCTCCCCGGCCGGGCCCCCCTACTGTGCATCCTACGTACGTACCAGGAAGCCGACTGTGCATCGATCATATGGATTTAGTGTACATTGGGGCAAATTTCCACCTTTCCTTCTTTCAGAGGGTTTTCGAGAAAGCGAGAGGCAAAGCGCCAAGCGGCGGCGGCAGTGGGGCGGCCAATCGTCAGCCCCGGCTCGATCATCATGTCTTCAGCAGGAACTGGATCACGAGGTCGCGGAAACTACGGAAGGGCCGACAGAGGCAGGTCGGATAGATACGAAGCGCCCACACAGCAGCCGTTCCGGGCCCTATGTGTGGAAGGCATCAGAACGCGGGACACGTGAGGATCTCATCGCAGTTAGTCTCGACCTGAATCCTTATGGATTTGATCACTTCTGCGCTCATTGCGATCAATCAGAGGAGAGGCTCGAATCGTGAGTATGTTACGATAGCCACGGCACAGTGGGCAACAGAGGCGTGGGTGGGAAAGAGNTTTTTTCGAGAAAGCGAGAGGCAAAGCGCCAAGCGGCGGCGGCAGTGGGGCGGCCAATCGTCAGCCCCGGCTCGATCATCATGTCTTCAGCAGGAACTGGATCACGAGGTCGCGGAAACTACGGAAGGGCCGACAGAGGCAGGTCGGATAGATACGAAGCGCCCACACAGCAGCCGTTCCGGGCCCTATGTGTGGAAGGCATCAGAACGCGGGACACATGAGGATCTCATCGCAGTTAGTCTCGACCTGAATCCTTATG